ATGCTTGTGAAATTCTAGAAGCTTTTTTAAAGGAAACAAAAGATATTTCATAGCTTTTCATAGGTATTTTTCTTCAAACCAATGTTCATTGTGAAAGCAGAAAGGTAGCACTAACAAAAGCTCTGTAGAGATTCATTAACAATAAGCTGAGTCGAGTGTGTCATGGGAAGATGTGACTCCCAGCGGAAGGACCGTGTGCCTGTAACTTAACAACTGGCATGGGAAGGGGACACGCAAACCTGCTTCTCATGTGTGCTCTCCTTTGGAACTTTTTGCCTGGTGCCTTCAGATAACCGCAGTATCCACCTCCAAGCAAACAGAACATGATTCTCCGTTCTGGTGCTTGTGAATGATGCTACTCTGAGGTTGTTTACTTACTTGTCCACAAAAGGAGTCCAGCATCTGCAAACTCTGGTTCCACTCTGCTGTTTTCCCATCGTTGAGCAATCCTGACCCAAAGGGTTTGTCTTCCAGCTCACAGTCACGGATTGTTTCTTGTTCCATTTTCAGGCTTTCAAAGTGCTAAATAATAATTATGTCCTGTTTTCCTCTAGGACAATCTGTTGAATTTAAAGAATTATTTCAAAGTAAATGCTACAAGAAGCCTTGTGACTTCATCAAAACAGGAAAAAAAGCCAACAGAAGTGTGCAGGGTCCTCAGTGCTGGGTTAGACTTTCACAATCTCTCCAGCACCTCTCTCCTACTCTCGGTTGGGAGATTTAGTAGGAAGCTTTCCTTAAAAATCCAGTCTTGGCAGCCTGTTGGAGCAGGGAGCAATGTTAAGACAGACAGTAGTAAGCTGGTGAAAGGACAGGCAGTGGCAGGGGTAAAAAAAGGGGGGACAGATTTGTGTATGGATGTGCTATCACTGTCTGCTCAGCTTTCCTTTCAGTGCAGTGATTGCTGTAATGTTTTCACCCCTGGAGAACGCCCTGCTGCAGCGGTCTTTCCAACACCATTGTTCTGCAGCCCATCTGCAGTTAAAAGTGAGGTGGACAAAGCCACCTGATGAAATGTACACTGGAACTGAATCCACTGCCAGCTCTACCATTCTCTAAACAAGCTGCACAGAAGACCCAGGAAAGCTTGAGCTAGTATGTCCATTAAGTGAAATAAGACATCTCTACTTCTTTTCCTTCTTCCCTTCTTCCTGCTTCAGTACTTTCAAGCCTTGAGCTAGTATGTCCATTAAGTGAAATTGAAATAAGACATCTCTACTTCTTTTCCCTCTTCCCTTCTTCCTGCTTCAGTACTTTCAAGTTTTGCCTGTAAAGTTAGACATAGGAAAAGACTGATGTTTCTATTTAGAATCATAGAACAGTTTGGGTTGGAAGGGCCCTTAAAGATCATCTGGTTCCAAATGCCCTGCCATGGGCAGGGACACCTTCCACTAGACCAGGTTGCCCAAAGCCTCATCCTTCCAACTGCCTGGTGTAGCAGAGGCAGGCAGTTCCTCTTGCTGCCCTGCTGTCAAGTGTGCCCAAGTGATGGGAGGAATCTCGTGTTTAGAAGGATATATTGAGACAGCTAGAAGGAGGAGGGGTGTGAGTTGCTGACAAACTGTTAAAATGTGTGGGAATGGTCATGATAATGTCATGTCTGATTTCTAATGGCAATATCCTTTCTGTTTTTAGTAAGAATAAAATTAATCTGTCCAAATTTTCCTGCCTAGTAGCAAGGAAACTCAGTGGCAGCCTCTAAAGATGCTTGGCAGCCCCTTCATATGTTTTGCTTTCAGGAGCTGAGAGTCAAGGCTGTATTAAGTTTTACTTTGTCCTATTTCATGTGGCCTCCTATCTCTTCTGAGCAGCTGTTTTCCTCTCTTCTTTTTGGCAGTACTTTTTTTTTCTTTGTTTTTCCTCCAATTTCAACATGCCCCATCTTTGAGCTCCCTGGAGTCTGGCCCTTTTTAGGATGTTTTGCCGTTAAGTCTGATGTTGTTTCCTGTGCCTGATCTTTACTTTTATTCTCTTGTCTTTTTTCCTGTACAGTACTGTGGTGGGGATGGGGAGGATGCACACTAGATATCAGGAACAGGCATTTGGTAGAACTGTGGGGAGGAGAGGGGTTTACACTGTGAAGCCTGAATGATACCGTTAAGAAATATTTCAGCTGCGTTTGCCCAGCAAGTGCAAATCTATACTGAAAGAATTTAAAATCTTTTCATCTGGGAGATGCGTTAACTGCAACTGACATGCAAGCAAGAAATCCATTTGTCTTCACTTTATGCAGATTAATACAAATGAAGTATATTTACAAGTTGCACTAATTTTATATGTCAGAACATCAGAAAGCTGCTTCGTTTTATGGCCAAGCTGTACAACTGAAGCCCTGGTCTCTGTGGTGCTTTGCCCCCAGCTTATAATTGAAGAACTTTGGGACTCATAATTGGAAAAATTTCAAAGATGAAACAAAATAACAAAACACATATCGAAGCGTGGTTCAGTTTTAATGCCAAAGAAGCTTTTGTCTTTGCTCAGGTGTCAGCTTATTGTCCCACTTCTTGGTGCCTCAGCATGTCTGTGCTGCTGCTTCTAAAAACAACAAAAAAACCTCAGAGCCTCAAAACCAAACTTGAAGCAGTTGAATTTTTGGTCTTCTAGAGACTCTGATGCTGGCAGTCTCCTCTCTTTCGGCCTTTCTCACATGCTTTTCTTGCATACTTTTGCTGATGGGAGCAGATGATTGATCTTTTGGAGGAGAGGGAAGAAAGGACAAAGGTGTTTTTTCCAGAGTTGTTCTGCATTCGATCTGTATCACTTGCGTCTATGTAGACAATTAGGCCTGAAAAAGATCAGTTAGCAATGTTTTACTGTTTACTGTTCCTGGGGGGGAAAAAAAAAAGTTAAACCACTGCTGCCTTTGCTGAGACTGTTCCTGCAATACTCGATTTCGATGTCAAATAGACTCGTCTAAACACTGTGCCGTGCTCCAGGTTCTGTACGGAAGGTGCTTTTGCCAACTTTGCCTTTTTTACTTGAGGTTCGGTTAGGAAATAGCTCAGCAGTTAGATGTGCCATCTAACTCTGCCTGGTTGCTTCCTCCCAGTGAGTCCAGCAGAAGGAAATGTGTGCTTGCAGCTCAGGTATTTTGGTGCAAGTCCAAAATCTGAGCGTGGTGCCACCGTTCTCACGAGGTGCTGTTTTTTGTGACGCACGGGTATACATTTCCTTCTGCTGAGGGGCATAACAGCTAACAAAGGGCTGGGAACTAACAAACACAGCTGACACAAAAATCATCCAGAACCACTTGATCAATGCTTTGAGCATCTCATTTTCACTTAGCTGGACTCTTATTTCAGGCCACAGAGGAACATGTGGTAACCTGTGGTCCCCT